TATCTTACACCTGTCTTACTCAACTAGTTAAAACTAAGATCTACCCTTCCCATGCCTGCACCAGAATCCCCTACATATGACATTACTAGAACACCACTGCAACCAAGCATAGTTCAAACAGCACCAAGTCTCAAAATAAGGTCCCAATGCTATCAGAAAATCCTATAATACAATTATGCTTCCCTGATAATATCAAATTCCCAGTACTTTACTTCGATCCTTGCTTTTCCTCCTCAGCTTCCCACCCCTTTCCCTTCCCATCTGCCTCAGCTAATGACTTTGTTTCATAATGCATTGAATACATAACACAGAGGGTCTCATCTTCACCCCCAAATCTATAAACTTATTTGTAGCCCCATGTCCTAGGTATTCCATCCTTTCACAATAAAGAAAATATTATTGCTTCCACTTGTGCTCTGGATTTCATCTGTTCTCCCTTTTCAAGGGCTTTGGCCCTGTGGGCATGTCCTCCACCATCAATTTCTCTCTACCGAATTATTTTTTTCTCTCTACTGAATTATTTCCATTAATATACAAATGTACTCAATATCTCACTTTTCCCCCAAATGCCCTTCTGGCTACCACTAATTTCTCCGCTTTTTAATAGCAAAACTTCTAGAAAGTATTATCTCTATTCACTGTCTTGACTTTCTTTATTCTGGCTTCCATCCCCACCATTCCATCGAAAACTTCTTTTAAGATCATCAGTAACCTTCATGTCGCCATTCCAACAGACATGTCTATCTGCATCTTTCTCACTCACCACAGGAATAGACTCAGTTGAACTTGAAATACTGTTTTAGCTTTGCTTTTGTGACACCATCCTCTTCCTATCCCTCTTGATCTCCTATTTTACCTAACCTCTAATCTCTTGCTAGTTAAAGTGTGATCCAGAAGACCAGCAGCATTAATAGTATCTGGGACTTTGTTAGATTTGCAGACTCAGACCCCAAACCTACTGGATCAGAATATACAATTAACATGACCACCAGATAACTCCTGGGACATGAAAGTTTTAGAATCATTGCTCTAGGGGCGCTTGGGTGGCTCAGTTGGTTAAGCGACTGCCTTCGGCTCAGGTCATGATCCTGGAGTCCCAGGATCGAGTCCCGCATCGGGCTCCCTGCTCGGCAGGGAGTCTGCTTCTCCCTCTGACCCTCCTCCCTCTCATGCTGTCTCTCATTCTCTCTCTCTCAAATAAATAAAATCTTAAAAAAAAAAAAAAAAAAAAAAGAATCATTGCTCTAAATGTTGGTGTGCACCCAGAGCCCTGTGCTGTGCTTTCCTCCTAGGTGGTCCCATCCAGACCCAAGGCTTTAAAAACTATGTATTTTTTATCTCCAAATCTCTCTCTCTCACACACAGCTCTGACAGCTCTCCTAAATTCCAAATTCATATACTCAAGAGCCTACATGACATGTCCATTTGGATGTCTCAAATATTTCAAACCTAATATATTGAAACAGAAACCCTCTACCCATCTCACTACATAGCTCCATCAAAGTAAGAACAGCTGTTTACTGAGCCCTCACAATGCTACAGGTATGATCTTCAGTGCATAACACATATCAGCTCCTTTAGTCCTCAGGCCACCACCAAGAGACAGGTACTAGGATTGTCCCCATTTTACAGAAGAGTACCTGAAACATGGAGGGTTAAGTAGAGGCATATCTTGTTTTACTGCACTTCATTTTACTGCACTTTGAAGGTCTGTGGCAACTCTATGTCAAGCAAGTCTATCATCACCATTTTTTCCAATAGCATTTACTCACTTTGTGTCTGTGTCACATTTTGGTGGTTCTCACAGTATTTCTACCTTTTTCATTATCATATTTGTTATGATGATCTGTGATCTTTCATGTTACTATTGTAATTGTTTTAGGGTGCCTCAAACTGAGCCCCTATAAGATGAAAAACTTAATCAGTAAATGTTATGTTTGTTCTGACTATACCACCAACCGGCCACTCCCCCATCTCTCTCCCTCTCCTCAGGCCTCCCTTTTGCCTGAGACACAACAATATTAAAATTAGGCCAATGAGTAACTCTACAATGGTCCCTCAATGTTCAAGTGAAAGGAAGAGTTGCACATCTCTCACTTTAAGTCAAAAGCTAGAAATGATTAGGCTTAGTAAGGAAGGCATGTCAAAAGCTGAGATAGGCCAAAAGCTAAGTCTCACTTGCCAAACAGGTAGCCAAGTTGTGAGTGCAAGGGAAAGGTTCTGGAAGGAATTTAAAAGTGCTGCTCCAATCTTGCACAATTGCAGGACTGCTGAATCTCAGATCTGTACCTCTGAAACAAATAATACATTATATGTTTTAAAAAAAAGAAGAAGAAGAAGATAGCAGGAGGGGAAAGAATGAAGGGGGGAAATTGGAGGGGGGAGATGAACCATGAGAGACTATGGATTCTGAAAAACAAACTGAGGGTTCTAGAGGGGAGGGGGGTGGGAGGATGGGTTAGCCTGGTGATGGGTATTAAAGAGGGCACGTTCTGCATGGAGCACTGGGTGTTATACGCAAACAATGAGTCATGGAACACTACATCAAAAACTAAGGATGTAATGTATGGTGATAAACATAACAATAAAAAAATTTTTTTAAAGTGCTGCTCCAGTGAACACACAATGGTAAGAAAGTAAAACAGCCTTTTTGCTGATACAGAGAAAGTCTGAGTGGTCTGGAGAGAGGAAGATCAAACCAGCCACAACATTCCCTTAAGCTAAAGCCTAATCCAGAGCAAGGTCCTAACTCTCTGTAATTCTAAGAAAGCAGAGGGAGGTGAGGAAGCTACACAAGTTTAAAATCAGCAGAGGTGGGTTCATGAGGTTTGAGGGAAGAAGCCAGCTCCATAACATAAAAGTGCAAGGTGAAGCTGTAAACACTGGTGTAGAAGCTGCAGCAAGTTATCCAGAAGATCTGCTTAAGATAATTCATGAATGTGGCTACACTCAACAACAGATTTTCAATGTAGACAAAACAGCCTTCTATTGGAAGAAGATCCATCGAGGACTTTCACAGCAAGAGAGGAGAGATCAATGCCTGGATTCAAAGCTTATCTTGTTAGGGACTAATGCAACTGGTGACTAAACTGAAAACAATATTCATTTATCATTCTGAAAATTCTAGGGCCCTTAAGAATTAAGCTAAACCTACTGTCTATGCTCTATAAACGGAAAAACAAAGCCTGGATGACAGCACATCTGTTTACAACATGTCTAACTGAGTATTTCAAGCCCACTATTGAGACCTACTGCTCAGAAAAAGATTCCTTTCAAAATATTACTGCTCACTGACAATGTACCTGGTCACCCAAGAACTGATGGAGACTTACAATGAGATTAATGTTCTTTTCATGCCTGTTGACACATAATCTATTCTACAGCCCATAGATCAAGGAATAATTTTGACATTCAAGTCTTTTTATTTAAGAAATACACTTCAAACTGCTATAGCTGTCATAGACTGTGATTCCTCTGATGGATTTGGGCAAAGTAACTTGAAAAACTTCTGAAAAAGATTCACCATTCTAGATGCCATTAAGAACATCTGTGATTCACAAGGCACCTGGGTGGCTCAGTGGGTTAAGCATCTGACTCTTGATTTCAGCTCAGGTCATGATCTCAGGGTCATGGGATCAAGCCCTACGTCCTGGCTCCCATGCTCAGCATGGAATCTGCTTGTCCTGCTTCCTCTACTCCTCCCCCCACTTTCTCTCTCTCTCTCTCTCAAATAAATTAAATCTTTAAAAATAACAACAAAAAAGAACATTCATGATTCATGGGACAATGCTAACAGTTTGGAAGAAGTTGGTTCCAACCCTCCTGGATGACTTTGAGGGAGTTTGAGACTTCAATGGAGGAAGTAACTGCAGATGTGGTGGACACAATGAGAGAACTAGAGTTCAAAGTGAAGCCTGAAGATGTGAGATGGCTACAATCTCATGATCAAACTTGAACAGATGAGGAGTTGCTTCTTATGGATGAACAATGAAAGTGGTTTCTTGCAATGGAATCTACTCCTGGTGAAGATGCTATGAAGATGGTTGAAATGACAACAAAGAATTTAGGATATTACATCAACTTCATTGATAAAACAGCTGTATAGTTTGAGGGTATTCACCCCAATTTTGAAAGAAGTTCTACTGTGGGTAAAATGCTATCAAACAGCATTACATGCTACAGAGAAATCATTCATGAAAGGAAGAGTCAATGGATGAGGCAAACTTCATTGTTGTATTAAAATAAGAAATAAGAAATTGCCACAGCCATCCCAACCACCCTAATCAGTCAGTAGGCAAGCACCACCCTGATCAGTCAGCAGCCATCAACATCAAGCCAAGACCTTCCACCAGCAAAAATTACAACTTACTGAAAGCTCAGATTATGTTCAGCATTTTTTAGCCATAAATTATTTTTGAATTATGTACATTTTTAGTAATGCTGTTGCACACTTAATAGACCATAGTGTAGATTACAGTATAGGTAAACATAACTTTTATATGTACTGAAAACTAAAAAATTCATTTGACTGACTTTATTGAGATACTCACTTTATTGTGGTGGTCTGGAACTGAACCTGCAATAGCTTTAAGGTATGCCTGTAATTTGCTCACAAACTTACATCTACCACACCCAGGATTTGAAGTTAGGTAATCTGCCTCCAGAATATGCTCCTAAATGTTATACCTCTCAATTCCATCATGCCCCATAGCTCAAAGTAGAAATCTAAAAGTCATTTATTTCTGCATCATCCACTTCCAATCCTGTATAATTCCAACATTATCTTGAATTGATGTACTTCTCTCCATCTCCATGGCCATCACCCTTGTCTGAGCCATCATTTTGCTTGTACATTCTGGTCTTCCCCCAACAGAGGGAGTTTTTCTAAAGAACCTGATGTCACAGCCTTGTTGAAACTCCTTTATGGGCTTCCGCATGCCTGACCATGGCCAAAAGAACTTTCTGTGACCTGAGCCCTGTCCTCTCCAGCATCTGTCCCACATTAGCTTGAGGGGCCCCTATTCCTGGGACATACCAACTATGTGGCCCACACACTCAGAGCCTTTGCTCTTGCTGTTCCCTTGGATCAAAACCATCTTCTTTTCTCCTGCTCCCTCCATCCTGCAGGTCTCAGTTCTCCTGCTCCCTCATCCCAGCCACACGGTCTAAAAGCTCAGTCTATGATAGCACTGTTTCCTTCATAGGACTTACCACATCTGAATCTGGGAAAAAGAAAGTGTAAATGTAGTAGTTCAAGCCATGGAGCAAGTTCAAGTCCATGTGGGTTCAAATCCTGGCTCTATACTATGATCTCTCTGTGGCTCCCTCTCCTCATCTGTTAAGAAACGGTATAGTAGTTTCTACTTAATATGGCTGCTATGATGAGTTGCAATCCCTAGCACATAAGTGCTGTTTAAGCATTTGCTATAATTATTGAAGGCAAGGACCTTGCCCCCAATCATCTCTATGTTCCCAGTGCTTAGAACACGCAGCTGATAAAAAGTTTGTCAAATGACTATTGTTCCTCTTCATTGTTCCCTTTATATAAGGGACAGTATCTACTATTTCCCAATGCCATATGGAGGTTTTTACCCCGTGATCACAATTAATGTACCTTCACGGTCTATTTTACATGCATTTATTTTATTCCACTCACATTGTACAATTGTTATACAACCTACAAAAAGTACAAAAGCCTAATCCATTTTCCAATATCAGCTCAGAGCTAAGTTGCAAAAAAGGAACAGTACAGTGAGTTACAAGGAGACTTGAGTGTCCTGTACAATTTATACTGCCTGTCACATGATGTATTTAAAGCTGTAAGTATTGCCACAGGAGAATCTCTTGTCTTTGCAGCGACCACACAGTTCCTGTCGATGAGGCCTCCTTAGATCAATGTGTCTTTTCTTTTGAGGACAGGAACAACGAGACTTTGAACAGGTCTTTAGAAAACAAGGAATAGTTTGGACACTAAATAATTAAATCAGTGTTTCAAATATAATCCTCAAATCAAAATACTTCTCCCCACCACCCGTATCCCTCATATCTTCATCCTCCTTTGAATCCTATGAGAAGTCCAGGACCAAGTTGTACAAAACCACTCCTATCCTATTAAATGCCATGCATTTTTCAAGATGAAAGAGCTAAGATGATATTTCAGAGAATACTGCTAAGCCAACCGAGAAGATCTACTGTAAGAGAAAGATTTTAAAAGAGTTTATAGAGTGTCTTCACTAATGGGTTTTTACATTTGTAGCCAGGTGGGGTTGAGGGGCAGTGAGTGAGTATTAAGTGATTTGATTATCTAGGCTGGAATTTTCAAAAACCCGAGAGCAGTGATTCTCAACCAGCTGTATTTTACCAACCAGCAGACATCTGGCAATGTCTGGAAATGCTTTTGGTTGTCACAACCAGGGGGGAGGGATTCTAGAGGAAGTTAATTCTTTTTTCTCTCCAGACGTGCCTAATCTTTACTATAATTTAGAGTATTCTTAACCATTATCCCATTCTGTCTTCTGATAAATAAAAATCACATCCTATGGAGACCAGTATATTGCCCTTGTCCACCCTCCGAAACCTGCTAATCTTTAAAACTGATCACTGCTCTATTTTCTGCATATGACCACAGCTAAAAAGAGTAAGTTTTACATTTTATTTTGTGGAAACAGGCATCTTCATTTTGCAAATAAAAGTCTTAAATATGATTTATGAAATGTTGTACATTTATACCTTCCACTTTTCCAGTGAGTGACAAGCATGCAACCTTGTAAGGAAATTCTAATAGCTAATACATGGTATTTATTGTATGCACTGTTCTAAGCACTTTTTATATAAACTCATTTAATCCTCACAATACTCTCACCGTGGAAGAAAAGCCTCAATAAAAAAAAATAAATAAAAACCAGTATGTACTCTAAAGGTAGGTTTCTGTTTCTGGCAATGGTGGACTAGTAATTTTGACCAAGCCTCCTACTTAGGATAACTTGAAAAGCAGAGCTAAAGAAAAATAACTTTTTAAAAGAACTATTCAAAGGCACTGGAGAATTATCAAAGAATTAGAGAAAGAAACCCAGAAATGGAGGTGAGCCTGATATTTGGGACTATTTCCTCTCTAAAGGTCTGCCAAATCTGGAAGAGGTGAAAGACAGTGGGAAGCTGAAAGTAAGTTTGACAAGCTGATGAAGCTGAGGGATAATTTTAAACATGCCCAACAGAAGAGACCTGGTTTTGTGTTGGGACCCTGAAAGGCTGCAGCCTAAGAATAAAGATGAGCCAAGAATTGACCCAGCTTTCACAGATGCTGAAGCCCAGCTTCAAAACAGCTCAACCCTGATTAGAAAATAGCAATCTAAATTGTTGGTGTCTCTAAGCTTCCCACCAGAAGCAAACAAATCTCTTGTGGAGGAAGATACTATCCTAGGCCTCAAATTATCACTATAATTCTTCATATTCAATAGACAGCACTCAATCAAAAATAACCATAGGAGGTGTATGAGGAGATAGAACCACAGAAAATGAAGAGGATAGCAACAGAGCCATAGGGCATTAAGTTAATGGAGTCACCTAATACAGATATTAAGATAATTATGCTTAATATATTCAAAGAAATAAGACTGATATTTTCAGCAGAGAACTGGAAGTCATTTTTTCAACACATAAAAATTGTAGCACTGCAAAACAGAGTAACTGAAATCAATTCAACAGATGGATTTAATAGCAGGTTGGAAATAGCTAAGGAAAGAATTAGAGAAATGAAGGATAGTTTTGTAGATGATATCCAAACTGAAGCAAGGAAAGACAAAAGCATAAGAAATATAGAAAAGAGCATAAAAAGCATAAGGGAGATGGTGAAAGGTCTAATATGAGTAACTGGAAGAAAGAGAGAATGGAAGCAGAAGTAATATTTTAAAAGATAATGGCTGATAACTTTCCAAAAGAGATAAAAATCTTCAAGCTACAGATTCAAGAAACACTATGAATCCCAAATAGAGTAAATACAAAGAAATCACAACTAGGCATATAATTGTAAAACTACTGAAAACCAAAGCAGAGAGAAATAGCTTAAAAGCAAGTAGATTTAAGGAGACAAAGAGCAAGAGCTATTACTTCAAAAGAGCTGCAAAAATACTAATAGCCAACTTCAAAAAAACAATGAAGGTCAGACCCTTAGTGGGCAGAAAGAATACTACTGCCAACCTAAAAATTCTATACCCAGCAAAATTATCCTTTAAAATCCAAGAGGATGTGCCACCTTCAGACCTACACTACAGTATTAAAACACGGGGCACCTGGGTGGTTCAGTCCATTAAGTGTCTGACTCTTGGTTTTGGCCCAAATCTTAGGGCTTGAGATCAAGCCCCATGTTGGGCTCTGTGCTTGGCAGGGATTCTACTTGAAGATTCTCTCCCTCTGCCCTTCCTACTACTCTCTCCCTCTCTTTCTCTCTAAAATAAAATAAAATCTTTTTAAAAATATCAAAGTGTATTCTTCAGGTAAAAGGAAAATGGCTCCAGATACAAAAAAGACCTAAAAACAGCAGAAAGGAAATATATGTAGCTAAAGCTAAATGAATGACTATATAAAATAAGGTCTTGCAAAGTTTAAAATTAAAATATACAACAGCAGTATATAAATTAGGATGAGGTGATGAGGAGTTAGAGTGTTCTAAGTTCATTGCATTGTCAAGGAGAGGTAATGTTCACAGTTTATGTAGACCTTGATAGGTCAAAGAATCATGTTGTAGCGTCTAAGGTAACTACCAGAAGAAGAATAAACAATAACTACCAAGATAATAGAGATGGGGAATCATTTTTTTAATTAAAAACTCAATTCAATTGAACACAAGAAAAAGGAGTATAAGAAAATAAAATATATTTAAACCCAACTTATAATATTAAACATAAACAGACTGAATGTCAGACTAGAAAATCTAAAGGTAAATCATTTATAAACTATTAGACTAGTTTTTTTGAATATTTTGAAGTAGTACAAAAAATATTTTTAACTAAATGAAGGATTTAGATTAAAAAAACTCGATTACAAAAACCAACTATGTCACACTTGCCTGAAAATTTTAAAAAGAGGTCTCCCGCAAGCTGTTTTAGATAAGCTCTCATCTAATTCTGTGACTTCCTAGACACTGGAGGCACCATAAAATCTGATCATAGTTCTAATATTTACTATTTGTCTAAACTTTCTTATTGAACTTTAGCTTTCTAGTCTGTAACATGGGGATAACACCTACCTCAAGGTTTAGATTACAGGAGATAAGGCACGTAAAGCACGTAGCCCAAAGTTTGGTACATAGTAAATGCTTAATACAGGTTACCTATTAAGTTACTACATCCATATGTAATTACTGAAACACTATATTGTATACCTGAAACTAATATAACACTATGTTAACTAACTGGAATGAAAATAATTAAAAAAAAAAAAAAGTTGCTACATCCAAACTACACACAGGGTGTTTGAGAAACAACACATACAGCCCATACATAAACACACCATATAAAGCAACTTAAAGGAGTCAATCTTTCACCCGTTCCTACACCACCCCAAAATCTAGAATTTATCTTTGATTTAAAATATTACAAAGATTCAAGGTATAGAAAACTTAACACTCCTATGCAAATATCCAATTCTATCTAATCCCAACATTTTGCCACAGAAGCTTCTATTTAAGAAGGGCAACATTATAGACATAATGAAAGGGCTCTACATGCTTACCTGACATTGGATTGCTTCTACTCGATAAGGGTTAAAACTCTTTTGGCATTTGCAACATAGTTGTTTGAAATAAACCTAAAGAGAAATAAGTCTTTTTTTTAATACAAGATTATAGGTACCTTAGACTCCCAGTTCTTAATTTAAGTAATTCATTCCCCCACATTCTGCCTTGCTTTTGCCCAACCTCTACCCTGAGGTCTTAAGCTCTTCTGGTGTTATCAGTCACTTTTCTCACTCTTTGAACCTGTTTCCTTACCTGTAAAATCAAGATACTCCCATTTATTTCCTAGAATTCTGACAATACCCAACAATATACACAAAGTACCACAGTAAAAATCTTCGATGGGAAGTAGCTATTATAATTTTGCTCATTGTGTGGGCTGAACCCTTGACCTTCTCCTTCTGTCCTAGTCTATGAGCCCTCACTTTTTCATTTTCTCATTATTTCCCCACCTGAACTTCAAATTATTTGTAATTACACACCCATACATATTGTTTCTCAACTTGTGCATTTTCTTGTGCACATTTTCTCCCTGCTTTCCTTGATGAACTCCTATTTATCCTCTAAAATCCTGCATGGACATCATGATGCCTTCCCTCCGACACGGTAATCATCCCCCTCCTGTGTTATTTCTGCACCACTTCCATGCCCCTGGGGCCACTGTATCTACCACCAAATTGCATTTTTTCTATGTCACTCCTAGGAGAATAAATTTCTTAAGAATGAGTTCTAGGTCTTGTTCTTTGTATCCTTGCATCTTGGGAGTGTTTTAATTAAACCCATTGTTTTTCTTCTGGCAAAAGAGGTAAGTAATTTTAGTATAGTTTAAAAATCATTTGCCTCCATGGTCTACTAAATGGTTAGTACGAAAAGTCAAGTTTTCACTCAGGTCTTAGCACGCCTCCTTGCCCTCTCCTTCTATAGACCGTTAGCCAGAAAAGCAGTATCTAAAATGTAGAAAGCACAGGGGACTCAAACTCAACTGCTTGCTGAAGTTAATGAAATAGACCAGATGCAGACTGTTGCAAAATGAAGTGTGCATGCCCAGTGAAAGGAGCTAGAAGCTGTTGAGCCCCAGCCTAGAGTCTTCACACTGAAATGAGAGTCTATAGTGACCAGACTCTATTAGGGAAATCTGGAAATGCAGATTGTGAAATCTTTCCCAATCTTAATAGGTTGACAACCAATTCAAATTGGGGGGGGGGGGGGGACTGCTTAGCCTAAAGAAGTCTCTCCAAGGTTAACCTTCACAATAAATTATTTCTCTTATTGCCCCACCTTGTGGACAGACCATGGAAATTTCCAGGAGCTAAGGCCCAAAGAGGTTCAAAATATACCAATTAAGAAATGAATATAGACAGTTCCACCATACACAATGACAAGAGTTCACCTAAATAACCTGAAATTTTGTTCAACAGAACTACCAAACCAAATGTAACACCAGGTTTAAGAGCTTCAGGAGTTCATATGGACAGTCCAAATCGGTTCAGTTCAAACATTTAGTACCTATTAAGTGCCTGGCACTAAGGATGCCAAATGAATGAGACAGCATTATGGTCATGCTCCATCAGGAAACACTCTCCCTCTATTTAACATCTGTGTCTAACCCATCCTCCTCCCACATTTCACTCACCTTTACTTACCTTATTAGTTCCAGAAATGCACCACACATAAGCACTCTCCCATCTGGTCTTACAATCTTTACAGTGAAAATAGCCATATTTTGGTTCCAAAAACTGCAGATAAGGGGGAAAAGCCTTTTACAATCTTGGGGGGGAATGGGGGAAAGCCAGATCCTCTTTCCTCATGGCTTCATATAAAAAAACAAAAAGCTTCCTTAACCTCATTCATGGCTCTTCTCAAGCCTACTACACTAATTTAGCATCTCATCTTTCAAGGATTACTCTGGGATTCTTATTGTTCCTGTCTCTCATACTTACTGTCTTTTTTTTTTTTTTTAATTTTACTGTGTTATGTTAGTCACCATACAATACATCATTGGTTTTTGATGTGGTGATCCACGATCCATTGTTTTCGTATAACACCCAGTGCTCCATGCAGTAGTGCCCTCCTTAATACCCATCACCGGGCTAGCCCATCCCCCTCCCCCCTCCCCTCTAAAACCCTGTTTCTCAGAGTCCATAGTCTCTCATGGTTCATCTCTCCCTCCAATTCCCCCCACCCATTTTTCCCTTCCTTTTCCTAATGTCCTCCATGCTATTCCTTATGTTCCACAAATAAGTGAAACCATATGATAATTGACTTTCTCTGCTTGATTTATTTCACTTAGCATAATCTCCTCCAGGGGAATGCAAGTTGGTACAGCCACTTTGGAAAACAGTGCGGAAGTTCCTCAAAAATTTAAAAATAGAGCTACCCTATGACCCAGCAATTGCACTACTGGGTATTTACCCCAAAGACACAGATGTAGTGAAAAGAAGGGCCATAAGCACCCCAATGTTCATAGCAGCAATGTCTGCAATAGCCAAACTGTGGAAAGAGCCGAGATGCCCTTCAACAGATGAATGGATAAAGAAGATGTGGTCCATATATACATGGAATATTACTCAGCCATCAGAAAGGATGGATCCCCAGCTTTTACATCAACATGGATGGGACTGGGGGAGATCCGTTTCTCGTACTTTTCTAATGTTCTTTCAACAATGCCACCCGCACAATCTCCCCTGAATGAAAATCTGATCATATATTTGACAGGCTTGAAACCCCATTTTGTCTCCTCATTCCCAATAGCAGTAGCTGCCAGACTTTCGGTTTTCACATGCTTTAAGTTGGCACCCTATTTTACCAAAGTTACAAAATCTATAGGCCATGTAAAACACGTTTTCAGAACTACCGCTCCTTCATCAAGTAAAGGGAGAAAGCAAAAGAAGATTTTTGCTCTGTTGCCCCAGAAATGGAAAAGAGGAAAGAAAGGATGAGGCTAGCTGAGGACTGAGGACAGGGAGGAGAAAGTTCACCTGGAAATTGGGTTTCCTGAGCAGATCTGCTCCACCACCTCCCTGGGCCTGCTCACTCTTCCCTTCCTGGGGACTTGAGGCATCTTCCTCCTCCAGCTCATCGTGCTGGTGAAGTTCCTCCTGCTTATCCTCCTCCGACCTAGGTGTTGGTGGTGGCTGCTGCTGCTGGCTGGCCTCAGCAGGACCCAAAAGGGCCTTCCTCTCCTGGGCTTCCTCCTCCCTCTGCAGCTGAATCAAGCCCCTGCGGCCTATCACTGGCGAATAGACTCCCCAAGGTGACAGGGGTGCCCTGTGGCCCGTGCTGCCCCAAGGGGAGCAGCTACACAAGGTGCGAGGCCCCAGCGAGCACTGCACGGACTTGTCCACCCGTGGGCTCACCTGCACGCCCACCTCCCTGGTACTGGCCTTGTAAAGCCGCAGGCTCAGGCTGGGGTTCATTTGGGAGAGAACAGCCTTAAGCTGTGCCCTCTTGTAAGGGTCCATGCAGTAGTCAGAGGCATTTGCAGGCACCAGCAACCCAGGCCTGGCCAGGAAAGTGGGGGGACCAGTGTTTCGCCTCCAGTCGGGCTGTTTGTGTTCAGAGAGTCCGGGATGGCCCAAAGGCACTGCATTCCCATAGCCCTGGTACAAGCCATAGGGAACACGGACAAAGCGCTCCATCCGCTCACCCGGTACCCAGGCGCAGCACAATATCCCGGGGGGTTGTCTGTCTCCTTGTTTTGCCTTCCACCTTCATCCACCCCTTCTTTTTCCCCCTGATCGAGTTAGTGCAGGTTCATTCCAAGCTTCTCCCTTTATTTCAGATCCTGATGGGAGCTGCTGCCTATTACCCTAATTAAAGGACAGAAGATGTACCTATCTACAGAGGCCTAATTTCCACCTGATTCCTAATTGCTCTTCCCCATCTCTTCAATTCACTGTCCCTGAATCCTTTTCAAAGCTGTTTTTCATTTCTGACTTCTTATTCTCACACATGCTTTCATTAGCAAGTCATTCATGTATCCTATAGTAACTATTTTAGGGACACTGTTTTAAAGCATATAGTAAATCAAATGCAAGTAGTAAGTTATTTGAACAGCAAACCAGAAGAGTATAAGGAAGTAAGTATACTATGGCAGAGATAATGAATGTAAAGACCCTAGAACCAGAGAAACAAGGAGCATAACGTTATGGGGGGAGGTTTGTATATAGTGTGAGAAAATGTATTTCAGAGGATTGTACTGTATGCCGACCGTTCTCATTAATTCACTCCTAGTGAAGATCCCTCTCCCAAAAAGGTGAGAAAAAAGCAAATTATTTTGATTTAGAGAATAGAAATTTAATCACGGGTTAAGTATCTAAAATCAAAGGGACTTGAATTGAAACCTGGGCCTTGTTACCAGGCAAGTTACTTAACCTGGTGATTTGGTTTCCCCATCTGACAATACTAATTTATAGGATTATAAGATTTAATGTGATATTACCTATAAAACACAAAACAGAATAACTCGTAAGTGTTCAGTAAGTGGTAACTATCATAAGCTTTACTATCTGTATTGGTAAGGCTTCCTGCCAAAGCTGAAGAGTATGATCAAACTAAAATGACGTCTACGTAACCCCGTAGAGACCACCCTTTTTCTAATCCAAGGCTGTTCCGCTGTTTACTGCTCAAGAGCTTTCTGGAAGCGGCAAGGTCTATGAGCAGCTCTTACTCCACACCAGTTGAAAGCTCTCTAGGTTATACAACAAACCTGAATTAAGCTTCGTGCTGCTCATGTCAGACACTGCGAATGAGAACAAATTCCCTTCTCTCACGGCGCCTTGGAGAGAAGACAAGCACAAAACGAGGTGATGAGCACCCGAAGAATGTAAAGGATGCTACGGAAGCCTGCAGAGAATAGTACCTAACATTGCAAGAGAGAGTTAAAGTGGTTTCACAATTTTTCAGGGGGGCAAACAGGCTTAAAGGGCTTGAAAACCTGCTACCTAAGAGCAACATGCGGACTAGAGCTAAAGTCCTCTGGCTTCAAATCTTATCCCTTTCCACTCTGTAGACAACACGCAGCAGGGAAGGCAGTCAGCCACTTTGGGGGACCGTTCACTCTAAGGGCAGAACAAAGTTCTTTCAAAGACCCCAGGCCCGGGCGCCTGGGTGGCTCAGTTGGTTAAGCGACTGCCTTCGGCTCAGGTCATGATCCTGGAGTCCCGGGATCGAGTCCCGCATCGGGCTCCCTGCTCGGCAGGGAGTCTGCTTCTCCCTCTGACCCTCCCCCTTCTCATATGCTCTCTCTCATTCTCTCTCTCTCTCTCTCAAATAAATAAATAAAATCTTAAAAAAAAAAAAAAGAAGGCTAAAGTTTGGGGCGCCTGGGTGGCTCAGTTGGTTAAGCGACTGCCTTCGGCTCAGGTCATGATCCTGGAGTCCCGGGATCGAGTCCCGCATCGGGCTCCCTGCTCGGCGGGGAGTCTGCTTCTTCCTCTGACCCTCCTCCCTCTCATGCTCTCTGTCTCTCATTCTCTCTCTTGCAAATAAATAAAATCTTAAAAAAAAAAAAAAAAGACCCCAGGCCCTGTCGCCCGGCGACCATCCAAACGTGAGGTGGAGCAGAGAGAAGGGGGAGGAGTCGGGGAGGATACACAGTGCGCGGTCACCCCCAGCAGCGCCGCCTCCTACTCTGAAGGCTTAGGGAGAAGAGAACAAGCACCCCGGCTGCCTCTTCACGCGGTTCCAGGCCGGCCTGTCCAGCAGTAGAACAAGGACTCGGCTTTCGCCACACAACTGCGCCAGCCGCCCGCCCAGAATCTGACTTCCGGGTGGCACGCACGCTGCGTGTCACGTCACGACGTCACCGCGTGACGTGTCCGGAAAGCGGGCTTTTGGCGCGAGAGTCTGAAATAAGGTCGGCGGAGGCGGAGCTGCTGGGCTCGGCGCTTTGCAGGTAGTCCCAGCCGTGGATCGCCGCGGAAAGGAGTCTGCGGGTCAGCTTTCTGATCGAAGGGCCGGTGCGGTTTTTGGCAGCCTTCTCTGGCCAAAAAGAGCTGCTCCTCCTGAGACGGTTAGTGTTGGCTGGGTGGAGACGGACGGGCCTGTCCCCCGCGGTGTGAGGCGGAGGGGGAACGCCCCTCATTCCCTGGGTGGGAGCCGCGGCCACCTGCCTACCCCCCGCCCCCACCCCGGTCTCTGTCTGCCTCGCATCCACTGGGAGAAAGGGCGGAAGGTTCGGCCCCTCGGTTAAGCAAACTCGAGCCCCGCCCCTTCCCTGGAACTCCGCTCCCCAACTTTGCGCCCCGCCAGCCGCCCAGGGGTTGCCCTTTAGCTGCCCCAGATGTCCCACTCCGAAATTTCCTTAATACGGTGACATTACTTTAACGGAATATTGTAATTTTAGAAGTGTTCACAGCTCCTGACACACTGTATCTGCCTTACTTAACCCCCAGGCAATTGCCGTATTACGAAGATTTACTGATTTGACATTGTTAAAATACATTTATCTCTAATAGGACTGCTCGTTGACTGTGCACCCCCTAGCCACACGTAACTAGTTAATTAAAAGTAATAATATTTATAATCCTGTTCTTGAGTGGCTAGTGGCTACTGTATCGGGCAGCACAAATATAGAATGCTCCCATCATCGCAGTGAGTTCGATTATCGTCCCAAAAGATAGGGCCGAGGTAAATAAACAATGTAACTTTAAGCAAGTTTACCTGTTTCTGATTTTACCTCAGAGTCGGTTAACAAGGACTGCATTCCTGTGAAGTGTATTTTGGTGTCGTCTTTTGCAGAGTTATTTACCAAGCATTGGAGTAATATTGTAGATAAAAATGCCTATTGGAGGCAAAGAGAGGCCGACTTTTTTTGAAATTTTTAAGACGCGGTGCAGTGAAGCAGGTATTGACAAATTTTATATACATCGATCATTTATGTTGAGAAAATGTTTTCAGAAAAATATGTAACTGTGCATGCTTGCTGAGAAGAATCCAATACGTAACGTTTTTGTTTTCACTACAAACTTCCGCATGGGGCCACAAATCCAGTTAAGAAAATGATCATATACAGTTAACGAAATGATAAGTATAGAACACTGGGGATAAAGGAGAGACTGGCCTTTTGATTAGCAGTAGGAAGAATTGTTTTTAAAGCACAGAACTATTAGCAAATCTGAAGCATTGGTATGTTACTTTATATCAGAAGTTGTCAAACTTTAGTCTCGGTCCTCCTTACACTCTTGAAAATGATTGAGAACCTTAAAGAGTTTTTGTTTATGTAGGCTACGGTATAGAAATGAAAACTAAGAATTTTTAAAGATGTTTATTAATTCACTTAAAAATAATAAATCCATTGCATATTAACACAAATAAACATTTTTATGAAAAATAACCCCCCCCCCAAAAAAAAGACTGGCACTCTTTTTACAGTTTTGCAGTTCTCTTTAATATCTGGCTTAGTAGAAGATAGCTGGATTCTCATACCAATTTCTGCCTTTAATGTGTTGCAGTATAGTCTTTTGGTAGAAGTATACAAGTAAAAGCCAGCCTCACACAACAATGTAGTTGAAAAAAGGAGTATTTTAATAGTCTTCAGTTAATTGTGGGTAACTTTGATAATATACCAAAACTTGAGAAGTGGTAGTTTTAAGAGTTGCAGTATGGAATGGGAAACCGTATTATCATGAATTTTTCATTCCCTTTGTTACATTTAATTCTATTCGTCTTTCTTGCACTTTGAATAAATCTTTTATCTGTGTTGTAACATCAGACACTGATCATTTGGAAAATGTCAGTGTTCTGAATTACACAGATTCCATATATTGACACATTAATATTAAACTAAAAATTGTATTTTATGTATTAAACTATATAATTAATTATTTAATTAATTTAAATTAATTATTCCATATATTGACACATTAATATTAAATTATAAAATTATATTTTATGTATTAAACTATAAAAATTACATTCATTAATTAGCTGATCTCATCAGAAAAGTCTTTTAAGATTAGGAAGATATCAAGTTTACAAAGGCTAATAAAGTTTAACAAATTTCTAATTCCCATTTAAAAACCTCCTATCTGGGGGCGCCTAGGTGGCTCAGTCGGTTAAGCGTCCGACTCTTGATCTCAGCTCAGGCCTTCATCTCAGAGTCATGAGTTCAAGCCCCACATTGGACTCTGCACTGGGCATGGAGCCTACTTTAAAAATTTTTTTAAAAATAAAAGCTCCTATTTTATCATTGGCAGCAAACTTTTTTCTGCAGTGACAGGCTAACTTCATTTTCAAGAAAATGTCTACCAAATCACCCAACTCAAAATGACTTGTTCTTTCTACTAAAAATGGCTTTCCGTGAAAAAAGTGCTAATTCAGCTAACTTGTAATGAGTGCTTTTTTAGACAACTATGGTACTTAAATATACAAAAATGCTTTATGCATACTTTCCATTTTGTCATAGAGAATATTAAAAAGATGTGCTCAAGAGTTGGGCTTTATAAAACTAATTTTTACTGCTTCATTAATATTTTAAGTTAGACTGGCTTTTTGGTTTTGTTTTTGAGAAGTGCATGATGTGAATGCAATTACTAGCACAGTTTATTGCCACTGCCTTGACTCATGCAAAGATGTCATCAGTTTTACCTACCAGGGTTGCAAATGTCAACATGGTGAAAAAGAGAAACAGTGCCCTAGTATTATTATGAAAATAGTTTTTACCTTATGGACCTCCTGAAATTGTCTTGGGGACCTCAGCCCCTGCCACAGTCCACAGACCACACACTGAAAATCAGTACTTTAAGGGTGGATAGATCATAATAGAAGTTTTGTCATTTCTCTTTAACAAGAACTCTTTTTAGTCCATTTTATTTGAGTCTACATGTTCCTGTACCTATAGATTTATCACATCCATTTATATTGTCTTTGTAATTAAATTGTATCTGTGGAATGCCTTCTTATTATGAATGACTTTTGTCTCCGAATCATGAATATAAGAGAAAGAAAATTTCAGAAAAGCTAGCTAATGTAGCTAGGAGCAATCACCTTGTAATTTTTGTAAACTCTTATTATACCTTGCTACAGATTGAAAGGAGAATAGGTTAATGATCTTGTTTAATTAATATGCTTTAACAAAAGTAATCTACAGTCAAAATCTCAAGCATCCTTTTCTTTATTATGATTTTTACAGACCCATGAACTTACCTGTCACTGATTAAAACCAAGATGGAATTTTTCTTTTTCTTACAGATTTAGGACCAATAAGTCTTAATTGGTTTGAAGAACTTTCTTTAGAAGCTCCACCCTATAATTCTGAACCCACAGAAGAATCTGGGTATAAAATCAGTTATGAACCAAACCTATTTAAAACACCACAAAGGAAAACTTATCATCAGTTGGCTTCAACTCCAGTAATATTCAGAGAGCAAAGTCTAATTGTGCCAATGTACCAACAATCTCCTTTAAAAGAATTAGATAAATACAGGTTAGACTCAGGTAAGTAATGTGGTACAGTAAACTAGGGAAAAACATGAACCAGAAATTCAGATAAACCTATGTTAAAACTCCCAGCTCTATTGTTAATTGTGTCATGTTGGTCAAATCAACCTCTTCTCACTTTCCCACCTGGAAAATGGAGATGGTGAACATAATGTCTGATAAGTTTGGATTAAATAAAATAATGTGGGTACTTAGTAAGTACTCCTTTTCCTCCCTCCTTTGATTAAATATTCTGCCTAGTGAGATTTGTTAAATTATGTCTTTCCTATACCAAAAAAAAGTAGGCCTTGTTTTGATGTTAATTAAATAAACTCTATTTCTGCAGGTTATCACAGGGCAGAGAAGGTTATTTTTATCAATTTTCTTTAAATGTCTTTTGACTTGGTAGCTGTTTCCCTGGCATACATGCCAGATATTCCAATCAATCATGTAATAAGAGTACATAGTCGTTCAACTGTTTATTACTTCAAGAGACATATTCTCCCTTTCTTTGGAGTATGACTCTAAAGGGGAATGAACAGTAGACAGAGAACAGTCTAAGATTGAATGTGGTACGTGTGAAAAGCAAAGTACAAAAAGTACAATGAGAGTTGAGAAGAAAGAGCATAAATAGGTTTGGGAGGCATTAGAGAGTGATTCATTTGAATTAAACCTTGAAGGATAGGTGAGATTCAAAAATTTGAAGATGGCATAGAGTAATGATGTACAAGGCCAAGGGGAAAACATGAGGAAGAAGATATAGGTTGTTAAGAGAATGTTAAATAATTCAGATTGTTTGGAATGTTGCATGTCTAAAAGGGACCAATAAACTTAAGGCTAAAAAGAGCACAAAGAGCCAGGTATTGAATGCCAGACTTAAAAAACTGAATTTGATAGGTTGTTGAGCAGAAAAATCCCATGTAAATTTGATCATGCTACGTCCTGCCTCAAACCTTTGATTACCTCCTTTTGCCTTCATGATAATATCTTTTTTTTTTTTTTAAAGATTTTTTATTTATTTATTTGACAGAGACAGAGATAGCGAGAGCAGGAACACAAGCAGCGGGAGTGGGAGAGGGAGAGCAGGCTTCCCACCGAGGAGGGAACCCGATGCGGGACTCGATCCCAGGACCTTGAGATCATGACCTGAGCCGAAGGCAGGCACTCAACCGACTGA